GCTATGTCACTGACTCTGGGCCCAAGAGTCCCAAGGTCTTGCCACACTGCTGGCCAATCAGGTCTTCACCTGGGTACACAGAAGTCAGTGTGTATTTTTAAAGGAATTAGTTCCTTTTCTGGATTTTCAAAACACTTTGTTCATGTCCTGGTATGATGCTATGGGTTAATGCGTCAGACGGCAAAGTCATTTGAACTGCAAGGATGGTGGTTCAAGCTCACTAGCTGCTCTTTGGAAACCCTATACAGGATCAGTATGGGTCGGAATCAACTCGACAGCACTTAACAACAGCAACTTACTATATTATATCATTGTTAGCTAGAGAAGACTAATGAAATTTTCCAGTTGAGCACAAATTTGCTGATTACCTACTATATGCCATACCCTGTTTACACTTCCATGTTTTGAAAAAACTAGATTGAATGGATCTGTTATACTTAATGTTTTTTCATTTCAGTAAAATACTAATTACAGTATAATACCATACTTTTAGCTAACCTTGAGTTATAAAATATTAGCTCAAAATGGCTCTTGTATCATTCAATAATTTTGACAACAAATGGCATATGATAAATCTGAAATTAGCTTCAATAATTGTTGTTATTATGTGCTATGGAGTCGATTCCGACTCATAGTGACCCTGTGCAGGGTTTCCGAGGCTGTAAATCTTTGCGGGAGCAGAAAGCCTCATCTTTCTCCCGTGGAACAGCTGGTAGTTTCAAACTGCTGAACTTGCAGCTCGCAGCCCGATTCGTAACTACTACACTACCAGAGCTCCTTCAATACAGCTTCAACAATACAGGACATTTTTTGACATACTTAATTAGAATGGTCAAAACCAGAGAGAAACTTGTAGGATTGATTGATTCTGTGCTTTAGCAATATTATGCACACAAAAAATTTCTTTTCTCTGTTCTGCATCCTAATTATGTTTCTTTTCATAGCTTTATACCAGAAGCATGCATGTACCCATTAGGAAGGGGATGTTGTCATTCTATCATATTCCTAACTTTCTAAAATTGACCGTAAGTGAACCAGCTTTGGTCCTGTTGCCAACTCATGAACCAGTGATTATTGCAGGGGAAATGGAGTAGATTGATTGGCTTAATAAAATAGTTTTATCTATCTTTACCCTAATTCCTAAACTCAAGTGGAGTCAGCTTTCCCAAAGCACCTGGTTTGTGTGGAGGTGGAGGAAAAGGATAACTAAGTTCTGAGTATGTTGATTATCTGTTAGTAGAAGTCCATATCATGCCACTAACATATAATAGTTCATTTATTCACCACGAGAGCTCTTAATAATAATTTGTATGGAGGATGATGAGATTCATTTTTATATTCACTCCATAATTATGTGAAATATGGAAATGTATCTCTTGTACTCTTTGTCTTTCTCAGACTAGAATTTTAATGTAAAATAATTTTTAGTATATTAAGAATTACCTGACAGTGTGCAAAAAAATTGGAGTCCTGGTGTGGCACTGTGGGCTAATGCGTCAGACTGCAAAGTAGTTTGAACTGCAAGTCGGTGGTACAAGCTTACCAACTGCTCCTTGGAGACCCTATACAGGGTCACTATGGGTCGGAATCGACTTGACGGTACTTAACAACAACAACATGCCAAAACTATTTATTGGTGGTGTTCTGAGATTGCTTACTGTGATAATTATGTTATTTTCCCGAGAGACCAATTTTCATACACAACCTTCAAATCCTACTACCTAGACACTTTAAAACCTGTCTCCATCTTGTGAACAATGACCCTAATTTTTACCAAAAAGAATTAGCAATACTATCTGAAAAGTTTGAAATTTACAGTTGTGCAGCTTTTCTGAGCTCGATGTTAAGGAATTAGAACTCTGTGCTAACTCTTCTAGAAGAATGTAGTCGGGCTGATGTGGTTCTCCCATTCAGGAGAGAAGAAATTTTATTTTCCCATTCAAATTTTCTTCTTATTGTATGCCATCAAGTTGAATCTGACTCATAGCTTAATAGGGATCCTGTGTTGAAATTTGCATTGGTAGCTCTTTTGTCCAGTGGGCAGGATAGTGGATTCAAATCCGACCTTTAGATTAACAGTCAACTGCTTAACCTTTCTACCACCAGGGCTCCTGAACTGATGTTTAATCCCACTGCTGTCTAGTCAATTCCAACTCACTGCCACTCTCTAGGACAGAGTAGGACTGCTCCATAGTATTTCTGAGTCTATAAATCTGTACAGAAGCAGACTACCTCATCTTTCTCTTACAGAGCTGCTGGTCAGTTTAAACTCCCAACATTTCAGTTAACAGTCCAATGCTTAATCCACTGCATAGTCAGGGCTCCTTAACAACAACCACCATCAGCCACTTTGGGGACTGTAAGCACAGCCTAAAGTAACTTTACTTTGAAGTCTTATGTTTCATCTCTAAATTTCTTTGAATTCTGCAATATCTGTGATATTTTAATGTATTATTTTCCTTTTCCAAGTACTTCAAAATCGGGAATTCAAGAAGATAGCTTACTTATATTTAACGATGGAGGGTATAGGTGCAGAGCTTCTGAGCTATGTATAGTGATAAAGATGTTGAAGCTTTCTTTTTTAACTGAACAACCTTTAGAACAGGTTGTTCATCTTTAAAAGGACTAAACTGGTGATTCAGAATGGACTTCTTTGAGTGGGAAAATAAAATTATTCTCTCCTGAATGGGAGAACCACATCAGCCCGACTGCATTCTTCTAGAAGAGTTAGCACAGAATTCTAATTCCTTAACATCGAGGTCAGAAAAGCTACACAACTGTAAATTTCAAACTTTTCAGATAGTATTGCTGATTTTTTTTGGTAAAAATTAGGGTCATTGTTTGCAAGATGGAGACAGGTTTTAAAGTATCTAGGCAGTAGGATTTGAAGGTTGTGTCTGAAAATTGGTGTCTTGGGAAAATAACATAATTTATAAAACTTAATGCCTTTGCTATGATTTCCTCTCTATTATATATTTTTTCGTAATTGAAATTGTGTGTGTGTGTTTTAATTGTGTACTTATCTTAAATTGTGTTTTGTTTTGTTTTCACAGACTCTTAGGGTTCCTCTCAGTTTGAAGTATTCCTGTCCTTCTGAAAGCACATGGAAACTAGCAGTTACTTCTCTCCTTAAGGTTCTTTCTATTGGTCTCCCAGTTGCTCGGCAACATGCTTCTTCTGGAAAATTTGACAGTATGTGGCCAGAACTGGCCAATACTTTTGAAGACTTTCTCTTTACTAAAAGGTCAGCTTATTCATTTTAAAATTTAGTCATCCTTTCAAAGAGTGTCATATTACATCTGCAGTTGCTTTAAAAGTAGTATTTATTAACAAATAAATGATTATTAAGATTCTTAGCTTATATGAGGGAACTTCAAAAAATTTGTGGAGAAATTCCATTCTCTTTTAATTTCATTTTTAAACAAACTCTTTAAGTTCCATCTTAGGCAGAACAAGTGGATTGGACATTTACCCACTGTGTACGTTATCTATGAGCAATGGATTTTTGCTCTTCGGAGTATTTTTGGCTGTGAGCCAGGAATTGTACATATGAAAATATCAAAATTAATGAACCATGATTTTAACTTCATGATGTTAGGAAGAGCAATTTTTTAAAGTGATGTCCACTGCAGATTATAGGAGGAAAAGGATTTCAGAAAAAACATTGGTAGAATATATTAGATATAGACCCTAAGATGTTTAAGTTTGTTCATATTCAAGAATGAATTTTATTATGTGTGAATTATACCCCAATAAATTGTTTTGAACATACAGAGAAAACTGACCAGAAAATATAAATACTTTTTCATTTCAAATGAAAGTTCTCTTTTCATTTCAAATACAGATTCAACTTTTTTAGTCATGAAGTACTGCATTCCTTAGGGAATTTAATGATCTTTTATGACCCATTTGTACCTAAAATATTGACCAACTCATAATTATCAGCATTTTTAAAAACCTTATCATAAATGTTTTTTGATAATGCTCAAAGAATCTAGGAAGTATATTAGCTATATGTTAAAATAAATGAGGAGTTTGGGTTCTGAGATCAGAATACTCAACCTGAACACAATCAGATAGTTTCCTGATATTTATTGATCTTTGGGATTTAGAAGAGGGGACCTTTCTGATTTTAGTTTTGCCTTTTTGGATCCTGGCCATTCCTAGCCTTGTCATTGTTGAGTGTTTTCAAGTCAGTTCCAATTCATAGCAACCCCATGTGACAGAATAGAACTGCCCGTAGGGTGTTTTTGGCTGTAATCATTATAGAAACAGTTTGCCAGGTCTTTTTTCCCATGTTGTTGTTGTTGTTAGGTGCCATAGAATCGGTACCGACCCATAGTGACCTTCTGCACAGCAGAACAAAACAATGCCCATTCCTGGGCCAACTTCACTACTGTTGCCACACTTGAGTCCATCAGTGCTGCTACTTGGCCAGTCCATCTCGTTGGTGGTCTTCCTTTCCACCTTACCAAACATGATAATCCTTCTTCAGCGACTGGTCCCTCCTGACAATATGTCCAAAGTATGACAGACGAAGTTTGGCCATCTTGGCCTCCAAGGAGCACTCTGGCTGCACCTCTTCCAAAACAGATCTATTGGTTCTTTTGGCAGTCCATGGCACTTTCAATATTCTCCTCCAACACCATAACCTTAGTTCTCAAGCTGACATCTTTGCTTTCAACGCTTCTCACAAGTTCTTGTGCAACAGATTTACCTAATGCAGTATGTCCCATGTAGTCACTAACATTTCAGTTCGCAGCCATTGGGGCTCTAGTTTTTTAATTTTGTATGTTACTTTCATCCCTCATCATACCATATTTTAGTAACCCATTAAGTTTTTCTGTTATATGCTTCCAAAATAATAATATTATATGCGTTCCTAATCTATTTTTTATTGGTTATCAATTCTCCCTTAATTGGCATCACCATCATCATAAAACTTTTAGTATCACTAAACACATTCCTTGTGTATAAACTAGAATTAACCGTATTTTCATCTTAAAGTTACAGATGATGGTGGTTGGTAGTTATGTGCCATAGATTGGTTCTGACTTAGTGAGCCTGCACAGGGTTTCTGAGGCTATATAAATCTTTACGGGAGCAAAAAGCCTCATCTTTCCATTCGTAACCACTATACTACCAGAGGTCCTTAAAGTTACAGATAGGATCTGTGAAGCTACTTTGATGGTGGTGGTTGTTAAGTGCCTATGAGTCAGTTCCTGCTCATAGCAAACCTGTATAGGTTTTCTGAGGAGCTGCTGGTAGGTTTGAATGCTGATCTTACAGATAATCCAGTGCTCATCCTACAGCTCCACACTAGTGATTGTAAAATTCCTACCATTGGTTCAGGTTTGGATACATGTGTAATTGTTTTCCTTTAGTTTCTACAGCGAGATAACAGTTATCCTAGGACTTAGACATTAAGTTGTAAGTTCTATAAGACAGGGACTGGGCCTATCTTACTCACAGCTGCATCTTGAACACTAAGAATACAGTGCCTGATACAAACTAATTGATAGTAGATATTTGTTGAATGAAAACTATACAAAGAAAACTTAATTCTAGTGCCCATAATATTGTATGTTTATCTGTATATGTATATGAACGGGCTTCAAAAAGTTTGTGGGAAAATAGAATTAAAGATAATGGGATTCACACACACACACACACACACACAAATTTAAGTTCCCTTGTATATTTGAATAACTGTAAGTGGATAAAACAAATAATTCCAAATAGAGAAAAAAATAACACCAATATAAAAGTATATACTATATCTCTAGACCTAAATGTCTCTTTACGTTTAGAACATCATAGAGAAGAATGTAGGCTCAAATAGCTGTTAAGTATGGGTTCAAATTTTGTCCTTGCCATTTACTTTCATTATGTTTTGTAGCATAGTGTTAACCATTATACGCTTCATTTTCCTCATTAGAAATTACATGATAATAATATCCATATGGAGTGTCTGTGGGAACATCTATGAAAATACAAATCAAGCGCAGTGCACTGGTGGTGGTGGTTGTGTGCTGTCTAGTTGGTTCCAATTCATAGTGGCCTTCTGTAGGGTTTCTGAGGTTGTAAATATTGATGGGAGCATAAAACCATATATTTCTCCCTCAGCTCACAGATTCAAACTGCTGCCCTTACAGTTTGCAACCCAGCTCATAATCCACTGTGCCACCAGGGCTCCTTACTTAGTATAGTAACTGGCTCTAATTTTAGCTGCTATTATTAAATTCTCAGCTGTTTTTAAGTAGTGGATAGCCCATTATGTTGCTGGTTATTTTTATTAAGAGCCATAGGTTTCTCTTGGTTCTCTCAAAACTATTGACTAAGGACAATTTTCTGCTTTAGAAAACTTGAAAGACATTTTCAGCTGTTTTGAACAACTTTTCTGATGTTATCTATCTTTTATTACAAATATCGTTAATACATTGTATTTAGGACAAATTAATGATGAGTAAGTCTACTCTTAAGTGAATAATTCAGCACCGTGACCTAGGCTCTTTTCAATCATTAGCAGAAGAAGTGAACTCCTATCATGACCATAGTAACTTGTGCTCTAACTGCTGATCATGATCTCTATCTTCCGTCATGTTTTCATTCCTAGCCCTGAAAACAGCTTACTTCTATAAATTATATTTAGCTTAGCATTGGACCAAGTGTTTTTGTAGTTAGAATTTCATGTTTTTAATTAGCTTAATCTTTTATACTAGTGACTTTCATTAAAAACATTCTTTTTAAAAAATGCAAATGTATGTCCCAAACTGAGTGAGAAAATATAAATTTTTGTCATTTGAATATGTTTATATATTTTCTGTTTGTATTTCCAGGGAATGTTTTACCTTTAAAAATCAGGTGTTTTATTTATTTTTTTAGCATGCCTCCAGATAATCTCTCTATTCAAGAGTTCCAAAGAAATGAAAGTATTGATGTTGAGGTGAGAAAACTATTTTAAATATATTTCTGTTGCCATTTGCAAGAATTAAGTATTAGAAATGTTGCAACTGCAAAACTACTGGAGAAAGAAAGTAACAGGTTAAGATTGAACCTAAAAGTATTAAAATAAAGATTGTTGTTGTTAGGTTCCACCAAGTAATTTCTAATTCATAGTGACCCTTTGTACAAAAGACAAACACTACCCAGTCCTGCAACATGCTCACATTCGTTGCTGTGTTTGAGCCCATGGCTGCAGCTACTGTATCAATCTATCTCATTTAGAGTTTTCTTTTTTGCTGACACTCTATCAAGCATTTCTTTCTTTCTGAAGGGACTTGTCCCTCCCAATAACATGTCCAAAGTATGCAAAAAGAAGTCTTGCCATCCTTATTTCTTAGGAGCATTCTGGCTAACATCTTCAAAACCAGATTTGTTTGTTGTTCTGGCAGTCTATGATCTATTCAGTATTCTTTGCCAACACTTTGATTCACATACAAGAATTCTTCTCCAGGCTTCCTTATTCATTGTCCAGCTTTCACATGCATATGAGTAGATGGAAAATATTAGGGCTGGGATCAGGCCCACGTTTGTCCTCAGAGTGACATCTTTACTTTTTAAAACCTTAAAGAGGTCTTTTGCAGCAGATTTGATTTCTGGGCTGCTGCTTCCATGGTTGTTGGTTGTGAATTAAAATAAAATGGAATCCTTGACAATTACAGTGTTTTCCATGTTTATCATGATGTTTATTGGTCCATTTGTGAGGGTTCTTATTTTCTTGATGTTGAGGTTCCATTTATAATAAGCCTGGTCTTGATGTACATCAGTAAGTGCTTTAATCCTCTTCATTTTTAGCAAGTAAGTTTGTATTGTTTGCATATCAGAGATTGTTAACGATCCCTTCTCCATTCCTGATGCTGCACTGTTCTTCATATAGTCCAAGTTCTAGCATTATCTACTCAACATTCAGATGGAATAAGTATGGTGAAAAGATACATCCCTGGCATACACCTTTCCTAATTTTAAACCATTCATTGTCCCCTTGCTCTGTTTAAACAACTGCTTCTTGGTATAGGTTCCTCTTGAGCACGATTCAGTGTTCTTGAATTCCCGTTCTTCACAAGGATATCGATAGCTTGTTATGATGCACACAGTCAAGTGCCTTTGCATAGTCAGTGATATATAGTAAACACCTTTCTGGTATTCTCTGCTCTTAGCCAGTTATATCCCTCATTGTACATCTTCTTCTGAATCCAGCTTGAATTTCTGCCAGTTCCCTGTTGATGTAGATGTAATGCTGCATCTGGTTTTGCATTATTATCAGCAGAATTTTATTTGCATGAGATATTGGTGATAGTTTTCAATAACTCCCAATTTCTGTTGGATCTCCTTTCTGTGAAATGGGCACAAATATTAATGTCTTTCATTCCATTATCCAGATAGCTATCTTCCAAAGCTTTTGGCATAGATGAGTGAGCACTTCCAACGTTGCAGCCATTTGCTGAAACACCTCAATTAATGGAGCCTTATTTCTCATCAGTGCATTCAGTGCAGGTTGGACTTCTTCCTTCAATACTAGCGAGTCTTGATCATATACTATATGGTGAAATGGTTGAACATCAACCAGTTCTTTTTGATACGATCATTTATGTATTTCTTCCATCTTCTTTTGATGTTTCCTGTATTGTTCAGTATTTTACCAGTGTTGTTAGCTGCCATAAAATCATCTCTGACTCATAGCAACCCTATGCACAGCGGAATGAAGTACTGCCTAGTACTGTGCCATCCTCACAATTGTTGTTACACTTAAACCCATTGCTGCTATCACTGTATGAGTGCATCTCATTGGGGCTCTTCATCTTTTTTACGACACTACACTTTACCAAGCATAATGTCCATCAGTTAGTCAGGAAGCTGTCTGCCAAATGTCTTGTCACAGATGAGTTAAGTGCCTCCAGTTCATAGAAAGATTTCAATTTTTATTCTGTCAATTACTGGAACCTTTTTTTTTTTTTTTTTTGGCCAATAACTTCGGTGCAGCTTGGACTTCTTCCTTCAATATTGTTGACTCTTGATCATATGCTATCCCTTGAAATGTTTGAACAGCGACCATTTCTTTTTAGTACAGTGACTCTTGTGTATGCCTTCCATCTTCTTTTGATGCTTTTGGTATCATTCAGTGTTTTGCCCATGGAGTTCTTCAATATTGCAAGTTGAGGCTTTTGTTCAGTTTGAGAAATGCTTAGTGTGTATTTCCCTTTTGGTTATCTAACGCCAGGTCTTAGCACATTTCATTTTAATACTTTGTCTTCTCAAGTTGCCCTTTGAAAATGTCTGTTCAGTTGCTTTGTACTTTATCATCTCCATTTGCTTTAGCTACTCTATGTTCAAGAGCACATTTCAGAGTCTCTTCTGACACTGATTATGGTCTTTCTTTCTTGTCTTTTTAAAGCACTGACATTTTAAAAATGATTTCCTTAGATTTGCTACACATTTGCGCTATGTACATGTTGCATAGTTAGGTGATTTTGTCCACTTAATAATTTTAAAAAGGAGTTGAATCAGTGAAGTAAGTCCATCAAACAATGAGCAAGTATTTGTGAGCTTACACAGCAGTTAAGCAAAACTTAGTTGAGGTATAAACTAAGTTGCTTGGAGTTTTTCATTTTTAATCACGTGTAGTTACAGCTTCTAGAATTCATCAATGGTGGTGGTTTTTTTAAAGGATATATTTTGAGGATTATAAATGGATTATAAAGAGATAGGGTTTGTTTTTGTTGTTACACCTTTTTTCAGGTGGGTTATTTTTGTTCTTGGTTGTTTTCTCTCAGTTAATATGGAAACTCTTAAGTAAATCAAATAAATTAAAAATGTACATTTAAAAAGCAAAGAGATTATCATATAGGTATAAAGTATTGAATTTTGTACTCCTAATGTTTAAAGGAGCTCTGGTAGTGTAGAGGTTACGAATCGGGCTGCGAACCTTAAGGTCAGTGGTTCGAAACTACCAGCCGCTCCGCGGGAGAAAGATGAGGCTTTCTACTCCCGTAAGGATTTACACCCTCAGAAACCCTGTACAGGGTCGCTATGGGTCGGAACCGACTCGAAGGCACTTAACAACAACAACAACAATGTTTAAAAACTCTTGTAAACTTCTCTTTTTCTTTAAAGGGCAGAATAAGGTGTTTGACAAAAAATAAATATAGCCAGATTTTCTCTTACATGTCATTCTTTATGGAAAATTGAAAATGTGACATATCTTACTATTAATCCTATTTTAGATATTTTAATTTAGCTATTTCAGTATAGCCTGGGTAGTTTTATATGCTGTTTTTCTCTAGAGCACTGTTACATATATCACATTGAAGATCAACATTTATCAGTGGTTGCATAATGCACATTTAATAGAACTGAGTGTTTTGTGATAAAATTGCTAATATAGGGAACCAGACTGGTAGTCCTTATGTTTATTAACATATTTGTGGAAGTGAGGGTTCTGATTTTTCCTTTAAAATAAAATTGAAACTGTACTCTAGAAATTAAAATTTTATTATAATAATTTTTTAATTGCATTTGGATTTGCATCTTTTGTTTTAGGTAGTTAAGCTTATCAGCACTGAGATACTACCTTATGCCAATTTTATTCCCAAGGAATTTGTTGGTCAGATAATGGCTATGCTTAATAAGGGTTCAATACATTCTCAGTCCTCTTCATTTACAGGTATGTTATTTTAGTGATTTTTTTTCTGGGTGTGTGTGTGTAAAAAGATATTGAAGTACTTTTGAAGAAGCTGGTTATAGAAATGTTTAATTCTATGATTATGGAAAATGTAATAAAGTAGTTTTTATAAATGAGATACAAGCCATTAAGGTTTGTAATGGGAAAATATAGTCAATATTCTGTTCGCATATTTGCAAAACCCTGGTGAATTAAATTACCAGCTACTTAAGGAGTCAGCATAAGTCATTGTAGGATTACTTGTAGGGCAATATAATATAGAGAAAAATGAGTGTGTTTTCTTCAGTTAGTCACTAATTGGTTAAATTCTGAGTCTCAATTTTGTTATATGTATAATGAAGATATAAATACCTACCTCTTAGTACTCTAGATTGCAGAGTTAGCCCTTTAAAACATAAGATGCCTAGCCCTTTTTAAAGGAACTAGCATTTAGGGAAGGCCTTGTATGTGAAGGCATTATGCTAGAAGTAGAAGTATGTTGTCTCATTCCTTACAACATTTCTTTAAGGATGAACCAAATCAAACCCACAACTGTTGACTGGATTCTGACTCATAGCCACCTATGAGGACTTTTTGTTGTTGTTAAGTGCTGTGGAGTCGATTCCAACCCATAGTGACCCTTATAGCGTTTCCGAGGAGGGGGCTGATGAACTGGAACCGCTGACCTTGCAGTTCAAACGATTTTGCAATCCAGCTCATTAACCAGAGCACCTATATAACAGAAAAGGAATTGGTTTACAAAGGATGAAAACATCACCCAAAGTCTGAAGGCTGGAGGCCAAAATTCTTATTTGGAAAGAACTATATACTTTTTCAAAATTATATCATGCTGCCTTACTGGAAGATGATATATAAGTTGCTTTTTGCTATTATTTCTCTTTTTCTAAATTGTGCTGAAATTGTAAATATCATTGTGACATCATAATGTGCTTTTTCTGTGAAGTGAGTGAACATTTTAAAATTTGTAATCTCCAGAATTTGCCAGAGTCATTAGTAACTTTCCTTCTAAGCTGTGCTGAGAGTATTTTATATGCCTTTGAAGAGCCCTCGTCGTATAGGATAAGCACTGTGGTTCAAACCCACCAGCCACTCTCAGAAACCCTTTGCAGGGTTGCTGTGAGTCAGAACTGACTCGAAGGCGGAAAATAACAAAAGAGCATTTATGTACTCTGACCACTAGATGTCTCTCAGACTATTCATAAACAATTTCTCATTCCTAGCCCAGACAATGTTAAAAACTGACCTGGTAAAATGCAGGCTTAACCAACATGAAAATTTCAAAGAAAAAAATTTAAAGTACATTTCTCTTAATATAGACAAAGTTTTTAAATTAAAATTATAATTTAAAAACTGTAGCTAAATTCTCAAAAATGCATATTAAGCAAAATATTCCTAATTATACATAAATACCTTAAGCTAAGTAAGAAATTACTGCATCTATTTTTTTCTAACAGTTTTCTGATATCTCTGGCCATTGATAATATTAAATGTATCAAAACAAGGAAGGTACATGGACATTGTTCCAAAGAATTTGCCATAGAACCGAAACTTCTTAGGCATAACTTGAAGTATGCTTTAAACGTGTACGTACAGAGCCATTCTTTGTTAAACAAGATCAACCTATATACACAAAGGTTCCAGAGATTGAGTTTTAGTCCACTGCTCTGCTCTTAAGTATTAGCTGACAACCGAAACTCACAAATGTTTGAGGAAATCTAAAATGAGAAAGAAAACTGTATGTGATAGAAGGCGAGTAAACAAAGGAATAAAGTTGAAACGTGGTTGATATAATTTCTAGTCTAAGTAGACTGTTAACTGCAAGGTAACCCATCTCAGAAATCCTATACAGGGTCGCTTTTGAGTCGGAAGTTACTCAACGACATTTAACAACAATAAGTGGATTATGAAGAAAATGAAACCAGAAATTCTTAAATAAATTAGGCTATTTAGACCAATTTTAAATGAGGCAATTTAACTCCTCCCCATTAAGTCCTTTGCTACTGCTGAACATTTACGTTTTTTAACAATGGGTTCCACATGCTTTCGGAAATATGAAGCATTTAGGTTCATCCCTCTTAAAGTGTTCAAGAGCTGAATTAACTTTTCCAAATTGATTTTTTTACCTTCAGTTAATCAAAAAGCTTAAAGCAGATTTGTTCTAACTTGATTTCTCAAGTTAAATGAGTGTCCCTAAAAAACGAGACTCTAGTCATATAAAAGACCAGGTTTACTGGTTGTTAGAGATTGATGGAACCTGAAACTTTGACCCTTAGTCAGCGTTCAGGTTTCAGCCAAACACTAGATCCATAAGGGGAGCAGTAACACTAGTGAGATATATACACCTCAGAATAATCAACCATTTAAAAGAGCAGCATTTACTCACAAAGTTCAGAAAGGCTAGGAAAGAGGAAGGAATGGAAATAGGAAACACAAGGAGGAAGTGGTATAAGTGATCTACTTTGAGGAAATTGCAGTTAGTGAAATAAGGCAAAACGTGTATGAACTGTTGGATGTAAACTGATGATCGGCGCTGTAAACCTTCACTCAATTCACAATAAAAAGATAAAAGCAAAACAAAAACAATATTATTTTGAAGGTACCCTCTGAAAAATTTCCTTTCTAACTTGAGACACGCTTTGGAGTCTTATTTCTTCCTGGCTTAATAATAATCAAGCCTTATTCTTAGAGAAGGAAGCATGATTTATAGCAATTGACAATTTCTGTGGCATAAATACTCCCACCATGGAGTCCTGGTATGGTGCTGTTGGATAAGCACTCAACTACAAAGGCAGTTTGAACAGCAGGGTCAGCAGTTCAAACTCAACAGCTGCTCCTTGGAAATCCGGTACAGGATTGCTATGAGTCAGGATTGACTCAACGGCACTCAACAACAGTAACAACAGTGGCTGATGTTAAACATCACTGAATGTGTAGTTGAAAAGAGATGTCCACACAAACCCACTTCCAAGACTGAAACTCAAAGGGAACACATGAGCAGGCATGTAAGCTTATTGGTGACCACATTGTTCTACTTGAGAGTGGAAGTAGCAGAAAAGCAGTAATGAAGACATGGACTGAGTTCATTTCATAGACTCCTGTCAACTTTGAGATGAGAGAGAGAAGAGGAAGGGCTGGTTGGTCCAAAGTTTTGGGAGACCAGCGAGCTCCTGAGCCTATGGACTCAGAGCTGATGAGGACTCTAAACTCATGGAAAGAGAAAGGCTGACCTAGTCACTGGGGGCTAGAGCTGAGAGTGAATTGTCCAGCTGATATGAAGTAGAGAGATGTACACAATAACTTCCAGACTTGCAGAGAGTACCCATTTGATTTAGCTTCAATGGCTTGATGATCAGAACTCGACTAGAGGAAGATAAAGAAGTTTGATACAGGAAGCAAGTGTAAATTGCTGCAATTTTATGAGCTTGACCTTTTCTTAAGCATGTAGTAGCTCAAAATAACCAACTGAAAGGCAAGGAGTCTTCACATCAAGGATCAAACTTATCCCCTGTGTACACAGGGTTGATAGGGAAGGGCAACTTAGACATTGGCCACCTAAAAGGTGGGTGGAGGGAGGCAGCTATAAAAGGCACAAAGTGGCTGATTTACAAGTTTTCAAGAGGGAGTTTAGTTTCAGAGTGAGTGGGGGTGGGGGATAGAATTCCCACTGAATAGTTTTCATCCTGTTTAAATGGGTCTGGTGAAAGGAGATGGGAATAGGCTTCTTTTGATTCAATAGTAATTGTTATCATGCCTAATTGCAATTGTCACAACTGTAAAGGTAGAAGTTGTGTAACAAAAAGGGGGGAGTTGTTAATTTTACATTCCAGGAACAGAGAACCCTAAGACCATCAAGAGAAAAGAACATGAGCAGAACATGGGACCCTAACCAGAGAAACAGATACCAGAGATGAAGGCAGAGGTGATGGCATGGAGAGATAGAGCAGATGAGAATTCTAAACTCATTGAAAGAGAAAGGCTGTGCAGTAGCAGCCAGGAGGCAGACTTCCAGAATGTGCCCCTTGGTTGTTTAAATGATTTTATATTCCTGCATATTTTTTGTGTGTAA